TGTGTGGAGTGCTTGGAATTGAACCTTTTTCCTTGTGTGTGGTAGCTAGGCACTCAACCATGGAGCGATAATGCCAGTCCCTCTTTGCCTATGAAAAGAAAAATATTAAACATGCAGAATTATGATATATATTCATCTTACAGATTTTGGTATTTAACCTAAAATATGGATAGGCACATAGCTCTGCATTAGAGTATTTGCTTAGCATATATAAGATCCTATGTTTGATCCCATTGGATAAATAGAAGCTGAATTTCTACTTCCCTTGAAAAATAGTTTCAAAAACCCATAGAGACTAAGCTCTTGCATGGTAATTGCTGGGAGGTGGATTGTCTTTCCCTCAATGCTACACTGGAGGCTCAACATTTAATTCTTATGAATGTGACTACATTTGGAAACGATAACTTTAAAAACTTAATCAAACTAACACACGATTATCTTGGATCAGGGTGGACCTTAGTCCAATGGTCCAATGACTGAAATTATTGCAAAAGGAGGGAAGCATATCATATATATATATATATATATATATATATATATATATATATATATATATATATATATATATATATTTCAGAATTGCATATTCTTTGTTTAAAAAAAACTGAATAATTGCTTCATATTTTGTTTCTGCCACTATTTCCCTGATGCAGTTTTGACATTTTGTTCTTTGGCTCTATCTTATTAAAAAATGAAGGCTATATATACCATTTGATATTGTGTGCTGTATAATTATTTATCCTGAGAATCGTTCTATGTATTAGATTATATATGTCAATATCTTAAGACTCATCTCATGAGCTATCAGAAGATCCTTCAGAGTTTGAACACTAAGAATGATGATGTCAAATATTCCCGCAGGGGAGAATGGGAACAACAAAAGCTCTTCCAGTGTTCCAGGGTATTGTTTCTAACCAGACTCATTAAAGCAAATAAATACAGCAGTGTTATATACAAATGGCTTGTAATTTCAAGAAGTAAATAAAAATTTTCATTGTGCTAACACATTTTCATCTCTTAATTGATGACAGAGAGTGTGAAGGGTATCTCACTGTCACTATTGCCTTTAATAAGAACAACACAGATATCAATTTGGGCACATTGCCATACAAATAAATAGTTTAATTTTCTCCTTGCTACAACAAGAACCTGACTACAGCTTAAGGGAGGAAGAATTTACATGTGGCTCAGAATTTGAGAATATAGTCCATCAATGCAGGAAAGTCTGGATAGCCAAAGCCTGAGGAGACTGGTCACATTCATCCTCAGTAAGGAAACACAGTCAAATGAGTACTGATGCTCATCTCCCTTCCTCTATTTCATTCAACCCAGGACCCTAGGCTATAGAATGCTATTACCCACATATCAGGTGGGTCCTTCCACCTCTGTCAATCCAATCCAGTAACTCTCTAACAAGGATGCTCAGACATTTGTCAACAAGGTGATTCTAGATCCTACCAAGTAAACAATCAATATTGACCATCCGTTCAAGCTTAGTATGGTTAATAAAAATACCTGCATACTGTTGGCCGCTGAATAAGAAATGTTGTGTTAAGATTTTATAAAGCTCCATAAACAAAGGTCTCAAGTCTTAACCAGCTTTGTTTAATGTTTCATTTTTTCCCTACTGCCTAGAGTTTAAAGGCAATAGCTAAAATTCTAAAAGCCATCCTGAAACAACTTATTAATAATAGAGGATAAACACACTGGAAGTTGGGATCCTTAGGGGGAAAAAGAGCTGACATATAATTTCAAAATTGCTTCCCTTGGGACATTAATACATGAGAAAAAAAGTAAATTTTCATCCAGTTAATACTACTCTTATTTTAGTTCTCCTAACACATGAAGTATAGTCTACTTCTAGTTTATTTACAGCTAATTTTAGTTCTATAAAGCTTTTCATAGTTTGCTTAATGATAATTTGGTCTGCTTAAATATTTCCCTACTCATGGTTTTTTTTGAAGTTCAAAAACTGTCAAATGTACATTGTGAGAGCATGGTTGGATCTGGATAATTATATAAGAAGCTTAACCTTCTTTCTATAATGTTCAGAGCCAGAATCACAAGGGTAATTATAATAATTATATAAATAAAGATATACGATGTCTTCATTTAGCATTATTTTCATCCAAGAAAATTATCCACAAGGCTTTAAGCAGTCCTTTGGGGAAGGTGGGACACTTGTCTGAGTGAAACAAGCATTTGATCTCTTTTATTTTTTGTTATATGATATTAATTACAAAATTAACATGTAAAAAGTATCCCCTCTTATACTAAAATATAATGTTCTTTGGCCTTCAAGTGTGAGTTGTTCAGTTAAACTACTCATTATGATTTATTGCTCTTGATATATTATATGATTTTTGAAAGCCTGTGGTACCCCAATACCATTCCTAGAAGCTGCAATGCTATTGGGATGACATATAGACCAACATCGACAACTATTTGTTGAGCTCCACAGTTGATTGAAATCCACAATAAAGTTGGAAGTCACTGCTTTAAACTATAATGAAGATATGCACGTTCTCTACTGGGGATGAGCAAATAGCAACTGCTAAGCTGCCTGATGCTGACAAGGCAATCAGGAAAACCCTTGGTTTTGTCACCACACATTTCTCTTCTGATAGTCTTGTCTCCCAGTCACTCATTAGCCATGCTAAAATAGGAGTGAAATTTTCTGCTCAATTGAGCAAAACTACATGTGAACTCCAAGCTCAAAACTGAGAAGTGCCTATATACAACTATTGTGCCATGCGTAGTTTCTTTGCTAGAGTAGATTGACAAAGTTTAGGTTGTTTGCACAGCCAATGATTCTCTATCTCCGTACAGAATGAAAGTTATAAATAGTTTCTAGTCACATGTGATGGTTAAAGTTTAAATTGATTACCTTGCACAAGGATTAGATTGATTCCCTTAATCTCTTTCATATAGGAGTGCACTGGGACCTGAAGCACTTGAACATTTCACATGACATTTGTTACACCATATTAATGATATCAATTAATCAGAGCAAATGAATAAGACATGAAATGTGTACTAGAGGCAGAGATATAGCAATTAGGCCTCTACAATGCTGTCAAGATGCCATGAAATGTATAGTAATATTTGGCATATTTCTAGGAAGAAATATAATAAGTAGGGTTTAAGACAAGCTCCAGAAGGAAAATTACAACAGAAGTCTCTTAAGGTTATGTAGAAAAAGTCATGGCATTTGTTGAAAAAAAAGTATAAATTTTTTAAAGGAAATAAAAAAATGTACTGTATGTGATATCAGATTTTCATTGGGTTTGACTGTCTGACTAGGGAGCCAACTAGAAACTAATTCTGGGCAGAGTTCACAGTCTGTCAGATGAACACAGTAGCAACTCATCACAGGCATAATATGTCAGCCACCCAAGAATGTTCATATCCCAATCCTCAGAAAATGTGAATGTGTTAAGTTTTATGGTATACACTGTTGCCACATACAAACTCAATGAGTTAACAGCAAAGTAAATAATAAACAGAAGGTTGAGACAAATTATTGAATAGGAGAGAATGTTTATAAGTCATTCATTCCCACCAAAGGAGTAATATTCACAATATATAACTAAAAATGCTCAAGAGCAATAAAAATTAATAATCCAGTTAATAAATGGAAAATTATCTGAAAAGACATTTCTCAAAAGAGGAAGCACATATAGCAAATCATAGGAAAAAAGTGTATATCTAATCAGGAGGGAAATGAAAGTTGAGACCACATTTGACCCAATCTCAAACCAATTAGACTACATATAACAAAAACATTGACAATTGCTAGAGAGGGCTAGAGACCAGGCATCTGATACACAGGTTAAGTTAACATTCAACTGTGGAAAGCAATATGGAAGTTTCTCAAAAAATGAAACTATTATATGACTCAAAAAGTCCCACCAGTGTATCAGTGTATATATACATATACATATATCCTCAATGGAAGGACACAGGGGAGGCTGCAGCTGGGATGTAAAATAGATGAATAAAACAAAATAGAAAGAAAGACATTATTTGAAACAGTTAAAGAGATCCCAGAACCCTTATGTTTATTGCATCTTATTTACCAATGTACAGTAATAAGCAAAATATCAATCAGTAAATCAGCAGATAAAGAAAGTGCAGCACTTATACCAAATGAAGTAAGTACTACTCAGCTAGAAAAAGATGAAATTATGTCACTTTGCATCAATATGGATGAATGTGGGTATCATAGCAAATGAAATGAAGTCAAACATTCAAAGAGAAGTTCTGAAATATGATGTCATGCATGTATTGCCTATAAAAAGACTGCTTATAGAGTTAGTAGAATGGCCATTAGTAGAGGCTGGGAAGGTGGGTGAGAGGAAGTGTTCATATATTTGTTAATGGGGACAAATTAAGTATTCTGATTTAAAAACAGCACAGCCAGCACTGTTCTTCCACTAATCAAAATGCTTGGATTTTTTTGATATTTCAATATCAATAAAAGATAAATTATTGGGGTGATAAATAATTTAAGTGTATTTATTTAGTTGGACCCCATTGGATAAGTATAACTAACATCACACCATGAAGATAGACAATTATTGTCTGTAAAAAAAAAGTACTTTACAACATGACACATGTCATTCACTCAATATGTAGTTCAGGTCAATAAAATACTTAACAAAACTTTGAAATATTATTACCGAGTTTTTCATAACTCTCTGTTGTCATAACTCAACACTGGTTGGCATGTAACAGTTTCCTATGAGAATGAAACATTCCATCCTGCAAGGAAACTCTATAAGCAGTGAGATAAATAACTCAAAATAGCTTCAGGGAGACTCTGAAACTGACCCAACTCACTGGGCTTCTCCCTGCCCAAATAAACAATAAAAGCTAAGATTGTCGTTCAGAGAAGCTGAGCTGCAAAGAAAACTCTTCCTCCAACAAGACAAGATGCAAAGAAGATTCTGAGACCAGACCAACAGCTGCCTGGAAGAAGCAGAAAGCAGCAGATCTACCTGGAAGAGGGTGGGTTAAACCAACTGAGCCTCTGGGAAGGGTGACTGTCCATCCTGTTGAGCTGCCTGCTTGCTGTGAGGAGTACTTGTGGTTTCCAGCTTTTAGCTCCTGCATGTTGGAGAGAGCACTGTTGATACATCTATCTCTGAGTTGTTTCTGTTCTTGTAAGTCACTCCACATCCATACTCCTTTAAATTACCCCAATAAACCCATGGTTCACCAAGTTGGACTTCAGTGGTATCCATACTTTGGTCTATCCTCGGTTCCCTATCTGGGGTGAGGAGATGTGTGTGTTGTATCTCCCCAGGAAAAGTTTTGTCACACAATACTTGGTAAACAAGTACAGACTGGGTGAATTTGAATTTACTTGTGTTAAGACTGAATGCTGAATATGTGGAATATTGCCACTATCTTGGATTATCACCATACCTTGGTTCTTTGAGGAAGATCTTTGATCTGAAAAATTATTTATTACATTGCTCAGTTTCAAGGCTCAGAATAGTTAAGTTAGTTCTTTCCATGAAATATCAAGGGCTTAACCACGGGAGTAGTTTTTCAAATGTGAACTTGAAGAAGTGCATTAATATAGTTCCCATTCCAAATCACTTACTTTTAGTACTCATTAAGGTATCTCTTAGCTCCATTATCAAGGCTGATCAACTTCTTTACTGGACATTTCCCCAAAACCTCGTGATCAAGAGAGTCAAAGTCTATCAATTATTATTATTCAAAATGCCCAATATTTAGAAGGAGTAGGCGCTTGAAGATGTGGAATGACTCTTAATAGACAGTATCTTGGAAACGGACACTCACTGTCAATTACCTGCAGACAGGCAACCTAGCTCTTCTTATTGTACATTATGTACAAATTGGTATGTTTGCTACTCTAATGGTGGAAATCATATAAAATGTCCTATAAAAGTTTCTAATCTGATTGTGGATCAGTGGGGGGGTAGGGTGGTGAGTGCTGTAATTCAAAGAAAAAATACTTTCTGAGGTACCTGGACAAGAAGACACCAACTGTCCCTAAAGAAGAAATGATCCCACTGAAAACCACTGTGCTATGAGGATTTGCTTATTTTGTTTTTGTTTCTATGGCTAAGAAGAGAGACAGCACCAGAAGAAGAGGGAAAAAAGAAAGATGAAGGCCTTCTGCCAGCCAGTGCTTTGTGTGGGCAAATAAATGTTGAATTCAATTAATTCCTGAGGGACTTCGAGGAAATTTTCCCAGGTTACTTTTCCTATTGCATGACAATATTTATATCATTTGCAGCCACAATAATGAAATTTTATTGTTTCTTTCTAAAAGCAAACCATAAGTTACCATTTTAATGATTATAAACAACTGAAGGATTTGATGAAATGTGAAAAAAGTATGTCTGACCAGTTATAAAAACTTTGCTCCATTTGAATGAAAAAAAAAAACTATATAAATCTTTCATGGACTTTCTTTTCTGTATCAGACCAGTATTTTCTGCTTTGGATTTTATATATTCAAAGTGTCTGTATGTGTTCCTGAGACAAATAAATATGTCATATATTAATTGTAGAATTTAGTATCTGATTAATATTGATTTCAGTTGAATTATTAAATTAGGCACAATAAAATGTATATAATGTATATCTTAATTACTTGTCTTGATGCTGTAATTAAAAAAACTGTAATAAAAAAACTTAAAGACATGTTTATTTTGGTTCACAGTTGAGGGTACAGTTTAGCATAGCGTAGACAGTACCGTGACAGAAACAGAAAATGGCAGGTCAAATTGTGTACCTAGAGAGGAAGGAAAAGCTGATGAACGCTTGTGCCCATCTCACTTTTCCTTTATGTACAACCAAGGATTGCTCTAGTTTCTTTTCCTGTTTCTGCAATAAAATACTCCGAAAAGGCAACAGAAAGGAAAAAAATGGTTATTCTCTCTCACCACCTGAAGGCTTTGTCCACCATCATAGAGCACACAAGGTTGCAGAAGCTGGAAACCGCCGACATCTCTGTATCCACAACCAGGGAGCAGAGAAAGATGAAGTCACGCTGCGGCTCAGTTCCTTTCACCATTTCTACTGTCTGCAATCCAGTTGCATAGATATTCACACTTAATTAATGTAACCGAAACAATTCCCCAAGGGAAGCCCAGAGGTCCACCTCCTGGGTGATTCTGGAATTTGTCAGTTAACAATCAACACTAATCATCACACATGGAAATGGTGCTGCCCATATTTAGGGTGGGTCTTCACATTTCAGGTAATCCACAGACTTGCCCAGAGGCTTGTCTCCTCAATGAGTCTGGATCCTGTCAAGCTGACATCCTTAACCATCAAAACATGCCACATTCATCTTTTCCCTTTGGACACCCAGAAGTGCAGAGGGAATTTTAATGATCAGTCTTGGTAACTGCAGTAACTCTGTTTGTCTTTTCACTTAGATGTGTGTTCATAAACTATAAAGATTTAAGACATTAGCTGACACATAGCATGTATTTCAATTATTGTTCAATTTTAATGGATGCTTTCTTCAAACACTTGAGAAAATATAATGAATCAGTGACTTAGACATTTCCTCATATTTTGAAAAGAAATGACTGCTGAATGTCTTAATGCAGAAATGTTACCCTTGAATAATTTCTGCACATTTATGAATGGTTCTCTCTCAGGTACTGTAGTTAAGAGGCATGATCCCTTTAAACAAATTGGAAAAGCAAAGATATAAAAGGAAGAAGTCTATTTGTTAAAATAATGTAGGCTTGTAAAATTTCTAACTTGAATGAACTAAAGATACAGTGATATATCACTATTTGTACACTTCTGAAGATCTGCTGTAGGAAGAGGCCAATGTCTTATAGTTTAAGTGTATCCGTATTCACTGCAAGCATCATTGCTCAAAGCCACATAGTTTAACAATGAAAGTATATGCACACTTCTGAATGGTTGAAAAATTTAAACTGGTAGATGTGCTGCATATGTATTATCATTACGTTTCTGATTAGACAATCATAGAAGATGCACATTCATATTCAGGCCATGGAATGGTTCAGAGAGCAGTAAAGCTATCAGTCATTTCAACTGGGCAGCTTTATGCCAAATCACCAGACACCAATGTTTACAATGAGTTTTGTAGGGATCATTATAACTTCCTGGTATATGTAGAAAGAATGAAACGGAAAATCCTGTCGGTGCACAGCAGAGGGAGATTAGCGTGTAACATGATTTGAAGGAGATCAGGAAAATGAAATGTCCTCCAAGAAATGGCTCACTGTGTCTCACATTTTGCTGCTTGCTCGTATTAGCGAGTCCCTGAGAACTGTATACAAATGTTTCTGTCAGGAAATTTTCTTTTGGGAATTACTTGAGAAAGTGTAGAAAATGAAGATGCATCATAAGTTATGCATGCAAATATGTTCTTGAAACCTTTGACAGAGAATAAGAAAACTCTGGCATTGAATTTCCAGTATGAAATAGAATGTGCAAAAATACTCCTGGAGTCACTTCAGAGTAGAGGTTGACTACAATGCAGAGTTCCGATCTAACATCAAGAGGGAATGTTGTTGGGTGGTTTTATAAAAAAAAATGAAGACAGATTCAACAAGTATATCATATTTCTTTTTATTTATTTTTGGATGGGTTGTATTTTCTTTTTGTTGTAATTCACTTTCCCAGACATACTATTAGTAGCCTGCATAGACTAGAGCAATTTTGTCTCCAGGAAGAAACAAGCATGAGGAAAGTGTAAAGCTGGAGATAGAACAACTCTGCATCTCACAATGGCAAAGCCATGATTTGAGTTACGATTGCTGATAGAGACTTTTATAGCAGAAAACTAGCAGGTTTCTGAGTCAGGACTGATAGGTTCTGAGTCAAGAACAGTAATGTGGAGGTCTCTGTTGTACACTTACCATCACACACAGGAAAAGAACTTTCTCTCTCCACTCTTTGCTAATTTTTCAGTGCTATAGCCAATGAGATAACTTGAGTTTTCAAGAGAAAGCCAATGTTGCATTGCTTAATTCTGATATCAGTGTACGTCTGCAAAAAAAAAATATTACTAACTTCTAGAACTATTTTGAATGATTATTATCAAACCTAACTACAGAAAATGCCACACGAATAGCATAACGCCCAAAGTCTTATTTTTTAAATATTATTTTTGGTATCTATTCTTCCTTTTTAAAAAAAAAATTCACTTATTTACTGTGGGCTAGGGTGAGGAGTGCCTGAATGTCACAGTGTGCATGTGGAACTCAGAATATGGCTTGCTGGAAATGATTCTTTCCTTCCACTATGTGTATCTTCTGAATTGAATTGAATTTCTCCGTCTTGGAGGTAAGTGCCTTTACCTTCTGAGCAATCCCATGGGCCCTTAAAAGAATTCTTTCATGAATGACTTAAACAGTATCTTAAAGCAAAAACTTGTATCTGTGAGAATGCAGATACTTAAAATACCATAAAACAAAAGTGAAAAGATTTGGAATAAGAGTTTCTGACTTGAATTCATTCTTTAGATTATAGCTGATAAAATGAGAAATGATAGTGAGAAACCAATGGCCAGAGAAAATGACACCATGCTATTTGCTGCTGTGTGACATAAAGCTGTGAAATAACAATATAAATTAAAGATGATAAAAATTCAATCTTCTATAATATGAAGAATGTATGTATGAAATGAGATTAAATTTCCAGTGCCGGTCTATCCCAGGCTAACAATGTTAATGACTAATTCAATAGAAGGCAGTCATCAACTGTTTTGTTACTTCATTTAACTCCTTGTATAAAATATATTAATAGCATTGAACAAAATAATTTACCACAGAACGCTGGAAAGGAAATATTAGTCTGATACAGTTGCATAATTACATTTTGTTCAAGATGATGTAGAATATTTAGGTAGGACAAATCAGAGACAGAAAAATGGGAATTTATCTCAGAAAAGATTAAGTAGCCACACTGGGTTAAAGTATCGGAAAGCCTTTCAAGATCCAAAGTGCTGCAAAGCTTTGCAGCAATGTGCCTAGATATGAAGTATGGCTGAGATATGCAGTGTTTGTTAAAAAGAAACATTCAAATTAGTTATCAAATTTAGAAATTTAACAGATTTTGGAGAAGGAGTATGTTTTAGTAGTCAGAAGAGAATGGGATTCACATACTAGTTACAAGGCTGCAAAGCAAACTGAACTGAACTGAACAGATTTTATGACCTAAAGCAAATCTCTCCATCTCAATTTTCTTAGCTGTAAAACTGAGCCCAGATGAAAGACAGTTCTCATGCACTCACCTGTCTCTCTCTGTGAACAGGAAGCTCCCTTCGAAGTCAGCATAGAAAACTGTGAGGAGGAAATGGCAATGAGAACAAACATTAACTCATACACAGTACATACATATATGAACCCTGACTTTTAATGGTACCATCCATATGACCACTTGAAGCATGATCATCATTGATTGATAGTCAAGGGAAGCTATTTAATTGCAAATATATAGTCCTATTTAACAATTTCAATATAGAATTGATTTTGCATTGCCAATGAGCATGCTACTCTGCACACATGTTTTTACTTCTTTATGATGTCATTAAAATGGATGCTATTTGTAGTAAATCATTTATAAACACTGTTAGAATATAAAGCGCATATCAATTTTGTATAACAATCTGAATAGGAAAATGGTCAGTGTTTACTTTGAGATTCTTATTGGCAACTGGAAAATCTGTTTTCTTTCCACCATTCCTTCCAGTTTTTTTTATTCTCCCCATCCCTGTTCCCTTTTGTTCTTTTCGTTGCCCCTTCCTCTCTTGCTACTCACTTTTCTTGCTCTCCTCTTACAGTCTTCTCTTTTTACCACTATTTCCTCCTATATTTTCTTCCTCTGCCTCACCTGTTGCAATTGCATTTCTCCCATTGACCCTTCCCTTCTCTTTTCTCTCTGTCCATTCATATGTTCATCCTGTGTGTTTTCTCTTCTTCTTTCTCATAACAACACTTATTGGCCACCACTATATGACAGATGGCATGCACAATATTAGGAATCCTGAAATAAATAACACATGGTCGCCAAGATACTGAACGTGTGTCTAAAAGGAGAAAAGAATAATTTGAAACTTGTTAGTAAAATCATACAGAGGGCAATAGAGAATGAGGTTCAGGCTGAAAGAATATTTCTTATTCACAGTCTTTCATTTGTAGCCTCTATCAACACTTTCAAAGACCACTTAAAAGTGTAGAGTGCAGACAATAAGCCCCTACCCAACTGTGCCACGCTAGACTAGATGATATCACAAGGATTCAAAATTGCTCTCCCTGAAGATCTCAAGTCTTTTAATAATAGCTTGTCTTGTTATTTTAAAAATTATTCTTGGTTTGGGGTAAAATCTCAGTGAGTAAGACTACTTGAAATGAACGCAAGGGGACCCAGGTCCAAACAGTACACATCTACATAAAAGCAAAGCCTGGACATATGTGCCTAAAATCCCAGGATGGCATTGGCAGAACAAACTAGTCAAAACAGTGGTATTTGGGTTTGGTGAGAGACCCTGAACTAAAAAAGTTAGTTGCAGAGTCATAATGGCACCCTGTGTACTTTTCTGGCCTTAATATGTCTAGGTATCTTAAAGACAACTATCTCTAGCAATAAAACCACTTCATATTTTTTTACAATCCATTATACACACACACACACACACACACACACACACACACACACACACACACACACTAAATTTACTCTGAATAGACTTAGGAATAGTGAAACAATTGACCACATGCCTGATTTTCTCAAATCCTAAACTTTCCTCAATAGTCTTTTTCTTAATTTGTGGATTATCCTGTAGATGTAACCAACCGTCTTATTAAATAAGAAATACAGAGCCGATTCAGAGAAGAAAGCCAAGAGGTCAGAACTAAGAGCCTTACCCTTTTTGTTTTAGCCAAGAGAGCTCTCCGAAAGGGGCCTACTTCCTGTCTGTTCCTCTTTATATAGGCTGTCTGTTTTGCCTTCTTATTGGTTGTAAACCCAAACACATGATTGTTTTGTCACTGTCTGTATGTACAGCCCTCCAGGTCCTCTATGGTATTGAAATTAAAGGCGTGTGTCTCTAATTCAATCTTCCAAAGGTGCAGATCTTGCCTTTAACGGCCTGATTATTCTTTTGCATGCTGCATTCGCATTCTCAAAGGCCAAAGATTCAATTATTATCTTACTAGCTTCTGAATCTGGGACCATTCTCTTTACTGCTGAAGCCAGTCTTTGTAAAAAATCTGTGAAAGATTCTTTTGGGCCTTGTATAACCTTTGTAAACGACTCAGTTTTTTTTTCCTGGTTCCTCAACTCTGTCCCATGCATTCAAGGCTGCCGTTCGACATAAAATTAGGGTTTGGACATCATATAAACATTGTGTTTGTGCTGAAGCATATTGACCTTCTCCAATAAGCTGATCCTGGCAGACTTGCATTCCTTTATTATCCTGCCTGATAACAGTGTTTATATATGCCTAAGGCCTGGCCCCATTCTTTGTCAGTTTAACACCAAAACAGAGGAGTCTCAGTAGCTAAAATCAGTTTCACAGGTACTATATACCTATATCACTGATCTCTAAAGCCTTGAACATCAAATCTCAGGTAAGTGGCCTGTTTTACAGGTCTTCATCTTGTTTGGTAAGATAATTTTTAAGAAAATTAAGTGTTGTAGAATATTATTTTAAGATGTGTTACATTTGTGTACTCTGTGTAATGTGTGTTTAATGATGCAGAGATGTGTTGCATTTGTTTAACTCTGTGAAGCTGTGTTACTTTGCCTGTCTAAAACACCTGATTGTCTAATAAAGAGCTGAACAGCCAATAATGAGGCAGGAGAAAGGATAGGAGGGAGTGGTAGGCAGAGAGAATAAAAAGGAGAAATATGGAAAGAAAAGAAGAAAAGCAAGAGAGATCAAGGCAGAGGACATCAGGGGCCAGCCACCCAGCTGACACAGGTTAAGAGTGAAAGTAAGATATACAGAAGTGTGAAAAGGAAAAAAAAAACCCAGTGGCAAAAGGTAGATGGGATGATTTAAAATTAGGAAAAGCTGGCAAGAAACAAGGTGAGTTAAGGCTGGACATTTATAATTGAGAATAAGCCTCCCTGTGATTTATTTGGCAGCTGGGTGGTGGGACACCCAAAAGAGTAAAGAGCAAAAACAAACAACAACTAAGCCAATTTTTGAGTGAACTATTTGAGTAGACATATCTGGAAGCCTATCTATGTTGTTTATAAAACTCATCCACACCTTTTCCCTTTAGATATTTTAATCTGAATTCTTTCATTATAATATTATAAAACTATAGTGGTAAATATGACACATCTATGGTTCCTAAGAGTCCTTAAAGTGATCCATAAAGCTGAGCATTCTGGAGACCAACAACACACTCAACAGATTCCTGATCCCTGTATTTCACACTCTGCAAACCACACATACTCCCATAGTTACACAAGATGATAAAGTTACCCAAGAAAACGTTGGTAAATGTAAATTAGACCCCTTTGTATTGTTTCTTACTATAACATGCAAACCTATCATGTTTTCAGATAGACATTTGTAATTCAATTTTTTAGTTTATTGAAAATAGATTTTTTCATATAATATATTCTGATTATGGTTTCCCCTCCCCAAACTCCCCACCTTCCATCCCATCCAGATACATACATACCTTCTTTGTATCTCCTTAGAAAACAAAGAAGCATCTAAAGAATAATAATAAAATGATAAGACAAAACAAAAACAAATTGGAATAGGACAAAATAAACAGAAGAAAAAGAGCCAAAGAAAAAGCACAAGAAATACATATGGATGCAGAGATGATCACATACACAGGAATACCTTAAAAACATAAAATGAGAGGCCATAATATATATGCATCAACCTATAAGGTTAAAATAATGCCATGATACAACATTATGAAACAAACAGCCTGCAAAGATACCATTGGGTTTGTTTCATGTTGATTATCTACAGCTGGGGATGGGCCCTATCTTTAAGAATGGTTTGTTTCCGTTTGTTGTTGTTGTTGTTTGTTTGTTTGTTTTTAGAGACAGGGTTTCATTGTGCATCTCTGGCTGTCCTGTAACTCACTCTGTAGACTAGGCTGGCATCGAACTCAGAAATCCACCTGCCTCTGTCTCCCTGAGTGCAGGGATTAAAGGCATGTGCCACCACAGCTGTGGAGCCTTCATGGGACTGGACTAAGACCTCTGCATAGTGAGACAGTTGTGTAGCTTGATCTGCTTTAGGGGGCCCCTGGCAGTAGGATCAGAACCCATCCCTGGTGCATAAGCAGGCTTTTTGGAGTCCACTACCAATGAAGGGACACCTTGCACAGCCTTGAGGCAGGGAAGGGGCTTGGACCTTCCGCTACTAAATGTACCTCCCCAGAAAATAAGGCCTTACCTTCTTGTAGGAGGGAATGGGGGAGGGTTCTAAGGGGGAGACTGAGGGGATGGGAGGAGGGAAGAAGGGTATCTTTGATTATTATGTAAAATAAATAAAATGTTTTTCTTAATTAAAAAATACACCACCACCACCAACAACAACAACAACAAAATGGTTTGTTTCTCCAGTGACACTCCCTTGGAGAAAATTAATTTTTATTTGCAAGCAGTTATCAATCAGAAATAGCTTTCTGAGTTAGGGATGTGGCATGTGTCCACTTTTCCTTTCAGTTCTAAGACCCAATATGGTGCAGATTCATGTAGGGCCTGTGCATGATGCCACAGTCTCTGAGTCTTCATGTACATCAGTCCTATTATGTCTAGAAGGCCTTGTTTTCTTGGTGTCCTCCATCAACTCTGGCTTTTACAATCTTTTCATCTCCTATTCTGCAGAGTTCACTGAACCCTGGGGGTAGGGATTTGATGGAGATACCCCATTTAGGGCTCAGTGTCCCAAGGTCTCTCACTCTCTGCACATTGACTGGCTGTAGGTATCTGTATTTGTTCCCAACTGCTTTGGAGGAAGCTTCTCTGGTGATGGCTGAGGAATGCACTGATCTATGAGTATAGCAGAATGTTCTTGGGAGTCATTTTATTGCTGCTTACTTTAGCAGATCAGTAGTATTTGGTTTTCCCCTAGCCCCATGGTGTATCAAATCTTGGGTTCTTGGCTACCCAAGCAGTGTTGGGTATGGGTTCCATTTCATGAAATAGGCTTTAAATCAAATCAGATCTTTGGTGGTTACTTCCACAGGCTTTGTGCCGTGGTTGCACCAGAATAATCTTCAGGTCGGTCACCACTGTAGATGGAAAAGTTTCTAGCTGGGTTGGTGTTTACCTTTTTCCTATAGTAGTGTGCAAAGTACATACATTCCAATATCATGAAAATTAGTCCATAGGGGTAAAAGCTGTAGATAGGCAACATCTCAACTTTTCCATGTTCAATGGGTTGTGTAGATGTTGTCTTCAGCAGTACAGCTTTACCATTATATTGTGGAGAGTTACCACTGCCTTGAAAATATCCTGGGTTGTTTGGGAATTACCCTGGGACCCCTTTGTCAACAACTCAATTAGATGTAACCCATTCCTGGTACCAGAAACTTCATTTGGTGATTAGAGACATCTATTTGGGGCTCTTATTCTATAGTTATTTTGCAATTTCGACTAGATCCACTTCATATCTCATAGAGGGCTATTATCCAAACTACATAAAGAACTCAAAAAATTGGACATCAAGAAGACAAACAAACCAATTAAAAATGAAGTACTGATCAAATCAAATAGAGAAAAATTAAATGGCTGAGAAACACTTAAAAGAAATGTTCAACATTGTTAATTGTGAGGAAAATGCAAATCAAAACTACTTTGAGATTTTGCCTTACAACTGTCTGAATGCCTAAGATCAATAAATAAAACAAATGGCAGCTCATGCTGGCAAGGATGTTGAGTAAGGGCAACACTTTTCCATTGCTGGTGGCAGTGCAACCTTGTACGGCCACTATAGAAATTAGTGTGGTGGTTCCTCAGGAAGACGGGAATTTGTCTACTTCAATTCCATGTACTAGCTATTCGACTCTTGAGCATATACACAAAGGATGCTTCATCCTGCTACAGTGACATTTTCTCAACCATGTTTATTGCCGCTCCATTGATAATAACCAGAAATGGGAAATAACCTAGATGTCTGTCAACAGATGAATAGATACAGAAGTGTGGTATATTTACATAATGGAATATTTCTCAGCGATTGAAAAAAATGAAATTTGCAAGTAAGTGGATGGAGCTAAAACAAACAAACAAAAACAAACACCCTGAGTGAGGTAATTCAGACCCAGAAAGATAAATATGGTATGTATTCATTTCATGTGGATGTTAGCTGTTAAGTCATTGATAAGCAAGCCACAACCCAGAGAACCACAGAGGTTAGGTATAGAGTAAAGCAATGGGGAGGGGGAAGAATGGATCTACCTAGAAAGAGCAAATGGAATAGACAGTTAAGAATGGACAGGAACTGGACTGGAATATCAAGATCAAATGGGGAAGGGGAAGGATAGTGAGGTAAGGGTAGAATATGGGGAGGGACAGGTAAAACTAAGGGCCATTTGAAGTTTTGTATATAACTCTAGTACAACAGAAACTTCCTAAATTATATGCAAGAAAAATATTCTTAAAAAACATTTATCTGCACCTTTAAAATGTGTTTATCACATTTTATATCAATTATTCTTCAATATTATTTTTAAATGTAAAATTTTTGGATTTTGGTAAAGGTGTTCTAAAACTATGTGGAAAAGATATAATGTCAGTATAAAGATAGGAAAAGTTCTAAATAACTTTACTACTTTATGTACCCTTCATGTAACAGCCAAAAACATTTATGATTGACTTCCCCTGATGATAGAGAAATTCATGGTTAAATCAACTTTTCAAGTTCTTATAGTTTGGTTCAGTGTTTTCCCCAAAGGCTCCTCAATCTCTTCCACAAAGGGAACTTTAAATCACCCCCATCATTTTGCCAGAAGTACTTGAACATGCTATAAAATCGGTTAGACATAATTGGAATTCTTCCTTCAAAATAAAAGGCAAATTTAATAAGTCCTGCTCAACCACCTCAAAATATATTTATAGAAGAGCACTTATTTGTGAATGATAATGTTGCCTAAGGAAACATAGAAAATAGCAAGTTATTGTAAAGCAATATTCATTTCCCAGTTAAATTTTTCAAAATGACTGATGTCAAGTTAAATGTAGGGACTATATCAAACAGTTTAAATAAAGGGAAACATGAATAGGCAAACTAAAACAATTCTAATATCTACAGATACTGTGTGAAGGAGTTCATTTACTCAGACTTCAAGAAAGTGATATGTAAAATGTTTCTCAATTTTAGTCAACTAATGAGTTATTTCTTAAATAAAAAAAATCATATTGTGAACCATATTACTACCGTATGCTGCCAAATATTCAGCTGGAATATTACTATAATATTCTAATTTTATCATATTTGGGGTGATTTCTATAAGTTATAGAGTTCAGTTATGTCTTTTTTTTTTTTTTTTGGTTTTTTCGAGACAGGGTTTCTCTGTGTAGCTTTGCGCCTTTTCCTGGAACTCGCTTTGGAGACCAGGCTGGCCTTGAACTCACAGAGATCCGCCTGCCTCTGCCTCCCGAGTGCTGGGATTAAAGGCGTGCGCCACCACCGCCCGGCCGGTTATTTCTTGTTATCTGTTATTCTTTGTTATCATCACTTCTTGTTTCTGTTATTGATGGATCTTTGACTCTTTTGAACAGGTTATTTTCTGTAATAACTGGTGGTATACTTTAGGAAAGAGCCACCTCAATCTTCACAGAATCAAGTTTATTACTATAATCAGTTTAATATATCAGTAATGAGACAAATCATTTACTATGTACCAGATTTTATGCTAAAAATCTGTATATATCTTTTACTTACTGTTCACACAAACCTGAAAATCAGGAATTTTGCACTGATTTGAGAAATGAAGCCACAAATATATATCTTAAATATTTTTAATATTTTCTGTTATATTTTAATTTTTTGTATATGGGATGTCTATGTATGTGTATGGTGGTGTCAGAGATCAATGTTGGGTGTCTCCCAATATCACTCTCCCCCTTAGATTTTAAAGGCCCAAGATTGTTATTAGGTATCTTCCTTGATTGCTTTCCACCTTATTTTTGGGGACAGGATCTCTCACTGAACCTTGAGCTCAGTTTCATATAGATTGCCTGGCTAAAATATCTGGGATTCACCTGTCCCCATTTGCCAAGCATTGGTGTTACAGAGAAGCCATCATACCTGTTTCTCTGTGGGAGATGGGAATCCCAAGCCTGGTCTTGAGAACTCAGATTGTCATGATGTACAGAAAGCTCTTCAACAGTTGAGCCATCTCCCAGCCCCGAATTCCACTATAATAAAATAGTGTAATGTTAGAACCTAGTCTTTCCTCTACTTCTTTCTGTACGCCAAACTGTACAAACATATTATTGTGTTAATAGATGACTTCAACATTTCCACCTCTTAGGCGATTCCAAGCTATAAAGGATAAGGCAAGACAAAATCTGCCTAACTCATAACTGTAGAGTCGGGTGTTTCTTAAGTTAGGTGTGACCCAGTTAGTAAGAGATGATACAGCATCTCCACAGAAGACCACATTAAGATACCCATTAAAATGATGCACTGTGGTCATCAGATCAATAAAAGAGTTTTGCTAAATTATATAAAAACTTTACATAAATCTCATCAAATTACTTTCTATATCACCTCAAAAACAGTAAAATGCTAAAGTCATACCATTTATTTGCTGATAGAGTTTTTATTTTTCATTTTTAGCATAAAAATAGCACTTAAATGTTCTATGATGATTACTATTCTTTCCATAAAGACTGGAGAAAACATATAAAATGCTTAAAATTTTTCTAATGTAGGATCTTAAGAAAAGTTCCATTTTTTAAAGTGTGCTAGGAATTGAACCCAGATTGCCATACATGATAAGCAAGCATGCTTTATCACTGAGCAGTACACCCAGCACCACACATATGCATAAATGTGTGTGTAAAAAAAAATCACCATTTGTTATGTAGTAGGCATTGTTAAAATATCTACATATTTAAATTCTTAATAGCTTAGATTCAAGGAAATGTGAATAACTAAAAGTTTTAAAAGTTGTATGAATCTATTTTGTATCTTTTCTCATGATTAGGTGACTGAGTGTCAAGCTGCACATTTCTTGGGATTCTGAGAGCTTAGTTTATGCAATTTTTCAGCATTTGGATTCACAACTCCAAAAATTCTTAATGCTTGTTAGAAATAAAACCCATAATGTCTGAAGTCAGGTTTTACAGAAGGTGGGGATGAGAGGAGATAACTTTCCAGCCAGCAAGATGCCCTGGTTGTCACCCTCTGGTTTTATTCTATTATTGGGTGAGTATAGATTAATGTACTTGCCTCCACTGTGACAATATATAATGCATGAACATAATTACTGGGGGTAATTTAGAAACAGAATATATTTAATCTTCTGTTCAAATGAACCAATTATAATACATAGGTTATGGAATGTTCTAGGCTTGTGCATAGACTTGTAAGTACAACTGATGTTGGTTAAATATGACTGGGAAAGTGTAAAACCTATAATCTTACTCATATATTACACAGGCTATGAAAATGTTATCATTCGTTTTATTAGCTAATCCAAACATACCATTTTGAGTGTTGTAGCTAAGGAGAAGATACTCTAGAAATTAGGAATCCATTTTTCCTCTTGAAGAAAGTGGAGTTACAGAGTTTCCAAATGCAATAGCCCATGAAAGTCAATAGCACAGTCCAAAAAGAAACATCGCACAACAAACTCCTGCATGTCAGTTCATCTTTTCCTATAGTAGAGAAACATTTGAGTTTCAAAACATGCTAGGGATAGTTATTACCTTAAAGCGGTATTCATTGACTGAGTTTAAAAGTCATTTAAAATTTATTAGCCAGTCAAGCTGCTTTGTTACAACTTACTGTTGTATTATTGTGTCAGGAAACCTTATAGGCAATGAAATGTTATACGGAAAACTTACAATCCACACAATGTGTAGGTTATTCTTCTTTCCCTGGAGTCCTTGTTTTGGGGAAAAAAATGTGAACTTGAAGTTACCTAAAAAGCTAAGTAAAAAGGGAGGGTGTTTAAGAAATGTGTCAAAAATAGCAACGTGTGTTTTTTCTAGGCATTTGGTGACTAAGATCGGGCTATGTGACTTAACAGCCACTTGACTGAGTTTGAAGGCCCACTGTCATTGGTTAGCTTCCTCAATAACCACTGGCTAACAGCAGTACCCGAGTCAGCACCACGGATAGCTCCCCGCATTTTGCATCTGGAAGAGGAGCTCTTTTTGCAAGCCCAGCTGCAGTTAGGGAACAGAATGAGAGAATAATCTACTTATAAAATAAAAGAAGATAAAATAAACCATGCTTCGGGAAAGTGTGTGTCCTCAATATTACAAGGGACGCAACTGTACAGATTCAGGAAAAATCAAGCTAATTAACTAGAAAATTCAACTTTTCCAGGCACTCACCATTTCACTTCATTGTTTTCAATGCTTTCATGTAAAATAATTAGAATTTCTTGGGTTCTTGTTTTTATTTGGATTTTGGGGGGTGTATGTTTTGTGGAACGTATAAAGTGTTATGTTAGTCTCCTATTTCCTACAAAATTGGTGATTCACCTTCCTAAACTAACCTTGCCTCTTGGCACTTAGTTCCAATCTAACTATTTCACTTCAGATTTGAGCTATAGCTAACAAAACGAGAACCCAACTGACTCAGACAAAGCAGGACAGTGGGCTGCTGCACTCTGACCTATCAGAGACCTTCTAGCATGCAGCTGCACGCCCTCAGGGAAGTCTATGGACCTTTATTGCCAGAGAGAAACAAGAGGTTTGTCCATGCTCTCTTTTGTAGAATGAAATGGTGGCAGATACAGAAAGGAGTGTGGCTAGGCTATTACAGGTGACAGCATCAATGAAGGGAAAGAAGCAAGAGGGGAGAAAAGGAAACCCGGAAAAAAAACAACTTTGAAAAGATGTTTTCCTGGCACAGCTTGCCTTAAGTCTTGGGGAGTATTTGTCCTAAGTATGTGTAAGCCAGGAGGAGATTCCCACATTGGAAGACTCTGAGAAGCACGAACGACGACGAGAGATCTCGATGTTGTCCTTTGAGTCTCTTCCTGTCGTATGCAAGCGCTCCCTTAGAAAAGATGAGAAAGCTGAAAGAATTGGCTAGTGTGTTTAGAAGGTAAGTAGCAAGGGAGGTCACTTCAAGGCTGCGAACTCTTAGCCCCACCCACCTTTTGTTCCTTCTCCCTGGCGCCCAGCCTCACCCGCTCCCAACTCTCTTGCCTTGTTTTGTACCATTTGTTTACACTATCTTTGGCCTTATCATCCTCCTGGCAACCCCTAGCGCCTGGAGACCCAGTCACCCCTCAAACGTTGCAACTCCTCGGGGACTCCCTCGGGGAAACCCGGCATGCTCAGCGGTGCTGACATCCTTCAGTCTTTCAGAGGCTTAGCTCAGCGCTGGATAGACCGGGTTTCATTCAGGGACCACCCCTGGCGTGCTCAGGGGTCCGAGCTGGACCTTGAAATTGCACCTGCACTCTTAGGCGGCGCATCTTAGATCTTCAACATTCTGAGCGCCAGCAGAGCTTTGAAACGCTCATTGAAGGGCTGGCTTCCCACCTGTCTTTTCTTTGCAGCTGAGGGTGTGTTAGCTACCTCGGTGCGAGGCGCTTCAGGATGAAGCCCTGTGGCTAGTGGCGGTGGAGATCACCTTCCCAGAGTAGCTGTTTTATCACTGAGTTTTGGAGATTTCTTGGCTGCCTTCCGCTAAGGCACGCTTGAGTAACCCGAGCTGTGGCGGCGCCCAAGCTCCCAGGATAAAGGCTGTGTGTGTGTGTGTGTGTGTGTGTGTGTGTGTGTGTGTGTGTGTGTGTGTGTAGGGGGAGAGGGCGGGGACAGAAACGTCAACCCCCACCCTGCCTCCTTTTCTTTTTCCCCTTCCTGCAAAAGGCGCACAAGTCTTCCACCCCACCCCACCCCCGCCCACCAGCAATCCTTGGGGCTCTGGGCAACAGCCAGGTTAAGCCCATTTGCACTGGGAAATTGGCGCTGTTTGGGAGAAGAGAAACAGATCGATTGCCCTTGTGACTCCCCGCCCCCCAACCCCGGCCCAGCCCGCCCCCCGCGTTCCTCGGCCCTCCCCCGCCGCCTCCCGCACCCCGCCTCCTCCCCTCCCCGCCCCCAAGCCTCTCACCCGCGGCAGGCCGGTGCGAGGCCCCCTCCGGAAGGTGAGCGGGATGGATTGGATTCCGGCGGGGAACGCGGGTGTCTCGAAGTGGTGCTAATGGGAAGAGATTTCTGCTCTCCAAAGAAGATGCGCTGCCACAAAGAGCGGCTTGCGCGCCGGCCTGGGCTCTAGCCCGGGAGACATCCCGGGAGAACTCCGAGCTCGGAGCGCTCGGCTAAGACCCGGGCAACATGCCTGTTCGCAGGGGGCATGTGGCACCGCAAAACACCTTCCTGGGGACCATCATACGGAAATTTGAAGGACAGAGTAAGTTCGTTTGTTCTCCCCTGTCGCTCGCTTTCAGCTTTGGTAGAGCACTTGGCGTCCGTCGCTTCCAAGCTAGAGAGATGGACAACTCCGGTCTGTCAAGTTAGAGGCTGGGAAAGCCAGCCAGGCAGTTCGGATGGCAGCGGGAGTGTTCTCTCTCACTAATATTAATTTGGATTTACATTTTAGATTGTGGACTCCATTGTACAAGGCAATTTGATCCTCCTCTCCCACTGCTCCATTATCTGCCTTGCTACTTCATGCCCTACTAGTCTACTACCTTAAAGGGAACGTGCTGGTGTAATACGGGCTTGCATTATAAGGCTCCTTTTCTGTGGCAGACTTTTTAAAGTCAGGAGCAGAGCCGACCACAGGCTGGGAACAAGGACATGTAAATGGTAGTAGCGATGTAAATGGCTATGCAAACTGTGTTTTATCTTGGTAAACTGCTGGGCTGTGGAATGTCAAGGATGCTGCTTGATGTTAGTTGGCTCTTAAAACTGAACTTTATAGGGAAGCTGAAAATAGACGTCAAAGAATAATTTGGAGAGCAGTGGTCTGGTTTGGAGTGTAAGAAGCTCACTACTCAAAAAACATATTTGTGTGTCTCTGTTGCTCCCCTAAATATGCCGTCTGAGAATTTAAAAATCATAGTGCAGTCTGTATATCCCACAGAGACTGAATATAGATAAATTTAATGTACTCATGTAAGCAAACCACCAGGAATTAATTATTTTATATAAATCTAGTAGTTGAAAATCTTATAGTTGTCCATTTATATTCTGCACTGAATCTACTTCAGCGTACATTTATGTTGCACACTTTACAAATTTTCCAGTACAGCAATTAACGATGTGCAGATATGGTGCCTGTGTATGACATTAACTTCTCTATCCTGCTTCATATTCTTTGTGGAAATAGCAAATACAGTTTGCTATCACATTTAGAGGAATTTGCATTAAAATATCTACTATTACACAAAAAAATCTACCTTGTTACAAAGAAAAAGTTTCTAAAAATGTGTTATCACCATGCTTAATGCATATGTGTGTATTTTTTTATCTTTTGGGATTGGACATTATGAAAGTGTGAAGCTTTACATTATTTGTTGTTAATAAATGTGAAGTCATTTCATTGCTAAAAATAATTTTCTTAAAAAAACAAGCATGTATAAAAGCTACAAACATATATGCTTTCCTTACAAATATCAAGAAAAAAAAATCCATGAGAAAGTTGCATTCTAAGATCCAGTCAAAGTTGAAGTGAGAAATCTGACAGTTTCAGGATGTTTCAATTTTCTGGCTTGGAAAAATTTTATCATACCACTAAATGGCATTCTGGAATTCTCCACTGGCAAGCTGCTTTCTGGCTGTCACTAGGACCCCTGGGAGTCACAGGGCTTGAGATCTAGACAACTTGAAAACTTCTGATCTTGCAATTGAAAAATAATCTTCTTAATTCATTCTATTAAATTACTTAGTGCCACTGATCTCACATTTAAAGTTTGGAGAGGAGTGTGTGTGTGTGTGTGTGTGTGTGTGTGTGTGTGTGTGTGTGTGTGTGTGTGGTGGTTTTTAATTCTCTGGGAAAGACTTAAGTAATTAGTATCTTGGGAATGCAACTGCATCCCAGACCCTTATTATGCAACAAATTGTTTTAGTGTTTGTGAGAACCTTGTGGAAGATTCTTAAAAGATGCCTTACCCTCTTCTTATCGCAGATAAAAAATTTATCATTGCAAATGCCAGAGTGCAGAACTGTGCCATCATCTACTGCAATGACGGGTTCTGTGAGATGACTGGTTTCTCCAGGCCAGATGTCATGCAGAAGCCGTGCACCTGCGACTTTCTCCACGGGCCTGAGACCAAGAGGCATGATATTGCCCAAATTGCCCAGGCGTTGCTGGGGTCAGAGGAGAGGAAAGTGGAGGTCACCTACTATCATAAAAATGGTAAAGTGGACCTGCTTAAGGTTCCTTGTATTTGATTCCCTTGAAATGAAATTTTGATTGCTCAAAGTTCATATGCAGAGAAACCCCATATAATTAACTGTAGATGAATTTTTAATATAAAGTCTTAGTATCCAAGTAATATGAATGATCTTATTATTGGATCAGTAGGAAAAAATTCTTCTTTGTGTAAAGGTACCTTGTTTGAACTCTGTAGAGGTGCAGTAACTTAATGTCACCAAGGACAAGAATGTCGTAAGTCAGCCCTGACACTTTTTAAAGGAATGATGTGCAGATTAGTAATTTACCATTTTTATCGTTCTATGCATAATGTGAGAGAAACACATTTTATTTGCCTGCATTTGAACGTATTTCACAAGGTCTTCTTGGAAACTGTGTAATCTGAATTGAAGATTGGTACAGTTATGAATGTTTCTTGGCTTTTTAAATGTTGATGGATGGAACTTCTTGTCTCTTTCCTTTGTTTTTAGAGAAGATTAAGCAGAGTTTATCGTAACTTCCACAACTGAGCCACTGAACTTGGGTACATTCATATGTCATAAAATAAGAATTATAGAAGACATTACTTGGGAGAAATACAGAAAAAGATCTGTGAGTGTGCAGGGTTATTAGTATTTACTTGTCTACCATAAACTATCACTTCAAAGTTAAGGCCATCATTTCAACTTTAAGGACACACTACCTTCTTATAGTCTTGCCCTAGGAACAGTGTGCATGCATGTATAATGTAAGACACACACACACACACACACACACACACATGCACACACACACATTCACATGTGTGTTCATTAGATAGATAGATAGATAGATATTCAGATATAGATAACTGAATATAAATAGGTTACTATATATGAATATTCATATAATGCTTTTTAAGGTAAATGTAGATGCATAGGGTGTACACTTAATGGCTTTGGCCAATTTAGTAAAACACTTGTAAAATACATGTACATTGTAGTTTTGCCAATATTGCTTCATCTATTTCTTCCTGTTGTGTGTACAAAAATTGATGAGGCTGAGGAGAATCTGCTCAGATTTTTAGAAAACTCTTAAGTTTGGCAAATGTTTGTCATACTGTAGTCTATACTATATCATGACTCCTTTGAAAACTATAGAGAAAAATAGCAAAAGAAAGGTATAATTCTTTCTCTTATTTTCTTATAATTAAATGTCTCATGATATGAAATGTACAATTCTTAATTACGGGATTTTTCCAGTGTATGAAGTTGAACTTGAGTGGGTATTTGCAATCAAGTATTACTGGAAAAACAGGTTTGTATAACTTTGTATTGCTCTGGAATGAGAGCAATTATATGATTATCAAACAGCACAGAGCTTGTTTCTTAAATTCTTCCCAGTTTACTCTTACTTTTTGATCAGTAGCATTGTGTATTATAAAAATATCCCTAAGGTTCCACTGTCTAGAAATATTTCTGTATTGAGACTGTCACCAAACACTGCAACTTACCTCTTTTGTCTACAAGATGCCAAAAAACTAGACTTTTGAAATTTTAAGTAGTTCAGTGTTGTTTCTTCTCTGACTGTTAAAGGATAAGGTTGATATGGTCTGTGTTGTGACTGTTCAAGGCATGCTGGTCCATCATTGGTTGATATATTTTCAAGGCCATTTCAGAATTTTTTTCAGCTTAAAAAAATTAAAGTACTGCTCTGAGTAAATCAGTTAGGTACTAAGCACCTTTTCCATAATGGTTTTAAATAGGAATTGTATCTATTATGGGGTGACTGAAATGTGGAAGTTTATTTGCTGTAATCACAAAATTAGCTCAGAACAATTTTGAAAAAGAATTTTATATTTAAACACAAACTTGTTGGTTGCAAAGTCTGTAGTAAAGATGTCAGTGTGTTGACCATTGCAAATTGATGCCTGAATGGTTTCCTTAGCTATACGAATTTTTTTAAAGCCACTTTTTTCATACAAGGAGTCTTTGGAAGCCCGGTAAAGTATAGAAATGTCAGTTTTTGGTGAAAACTTTCTCTATTGATGTTTCTTTCAGGTGTGACACACTTTGAAGGAGTAGGGTATCTTAAGTGGTACCAAGAAACTGTCTGTTTAGTTTTAGATGGTAGAGAAAATGAATAGATGAACTCAGTCTTTCTACTTTTCAAGGAAAACATATTAAATTAAATTCCCTTGGTGGCTGTTAAGATATAGATACGTTTACCTACTTGGGATGCAATAAACTAGTGGTTAGCTTTGATGCTAGTTCAGGTACATTGAATAGAATCTTGAGTGTTTACTAATTTATTTACATGACAGCTATAAAATCAGTGAAGGCTTATGACATTCAAATGCTTTGATAGTCTCACCTCTTATTGACCTGCTGCAAGTCACTTTGCATTTATAAAAGCAGACAGACAGAAAAAAAAACATAGAAACATTTTCTTTGGTTTGTTTCTTAAAGTTTCCTTAATTCCTTTAACTGAGGTCATTTACTGTGATGGTTTGGTTCCTTAATTCTTGGTTCTCTCTAGTAACTGCTTTCTTTGCTTATTAATTTAGAAATTCAATGAAATATATGTTATGTAATGAACACAATGAGAAAGTTAGGAACAGTTGTTATATTCCACGTTTACCATTCATGGTGAAGCAGTAAAACTGTTTTGAGGAGTAAAACATTATAGCTGAAAGCTTGTTTTCTGAAGTGGCCCAGTGGTTTCCCAAGCAATGAGAGCCAGAGATGTATGCAGTGAGTCCCAATGGAAGCATCATCAGGTGTGTAGCCCACTGAGAAGCAATACTTCCTACCCTGCTCAGTACTTGACAGTTCTAGGTAGAGTAGAACTTGCTGTTTATCAGAATATCAATTCTTAAAAACCCACTT